AATGCAATGAAAATACCTAAAATTTTCTATGTTGTTTGGTCTTAAAAATAAAGGGAATGAGGGCCACCAGTGCCACCACCACACATCCACCTCAAACCTTCATTCTCCACCGTTTCCAGCCACCAAACCACTCACCGCACCTTCCTCCCCCTTCGCCTCCCTTCACCGGTCATCCCCGCCCCTCGCACAGCTCTCCCCGCCCCTCGCAAAACCTTCCTCAACCCCGAAAAAACCACCCTCATCCCCGAATAAACCCTAGAAACTATTCTCCCTCGCCATTTGAGGTGCGACAACCTCCGACGAGGGTTGGGGGAGGTGCGAAAAGGGGCAGCGACGTGCGATTCCGATGCGAAAAGGGGCAGCGAACATATCCGATTCCGGTGCAAGGGAGAGTCGGCGAGGGTTGGCGAGGGGCGGCGAGGGTCGGGGAGGGGCGGCGAGGGTTAGGTAGGACGATGGTTGGGTTTTTCGGTGGTTGGGTAGGTATGAATGTGGTGATGTGGTGGTGTGGTGGTGGTAGGGAATGGGAATGGAAAAACCTAGGGGGTGGAGAATGGGCTTAGAAGGATTTGGGGGAATGGATGGGGGAAAGGGAATGAAAAAAAGGGCTAACAAACAGCAACAAAGGGAATCAGGGTGGTTGATTCTCTTTCCCTTTGATGAATACCCCCAACCAAACGGCCCCTTAGTATTACTTTCTCTCTCTAAACTATTAATTTATGCAATTTTATATTTCTTTCTTTTGGTACTATCTCTTCCCTCCTTTATTACTTATTTTCTTTACTTTGATCTTAATCATGTCTCCTTTAATTGTTTTGTTTAGTTTAGATTTAATTATATGTGAGTAGCTTTCTTTCTAGGGTTTATGGGGATCCATAATTAATATGAAGGGATAATTTGTTATTGTTGATTATTGTTATTGCATGATAATTTCTTATTGAATTGTTTTAATTCTTTACAATTAGATTATGAATCGAGCAGATGTGATTTGATTGTAAAAGTATAGCAATATTAGATTGATGATCGAGCAGATGTTAATTTGATATTAAAGGCTATTTTTAATAGGAACTTAGATCTAGTAAATTGCAAGAGCCTGTTAGATCTATGTTGATTAATAAATTGCTAGAGCCTGTTAATCATGTATATGTGCAATGTTAATTATCGGTTGTTATGTTTTATCCCGGATTATTAATTATTGGTGAACCTGTGACCCTAGACTTTTATTTATTGATTTCTTCCTACTCTTAATCTTCGTAGTTAGTTCCCTTTTATTAACAATTTGGTTACTTGATAATCTAGATTATAATAATTAATTAGGAATAGAAAGACTAGTTTCCCTGTGGATTCGACCCTACTTCCTATCTATTATTAGTTAGTGGTTTAAGGAATTACTTTTGATTAGGTGATACGACTTTAGCCTTTCAAATAAAAGAAATCTTTTCGCATTGTTTTGTTCAATTCCAGCTGGGCACCCGTTATGCTTTTCTCTAATACCATTCTACTTTAGGACGTATTTTTTGGTATTTCTTTTTGTATGTAAAAAGTAGCTCTTACGTTTTACGTATTTGATCTTTGTTTTTATCTACTTCCTCATCATTTCGAATTTCGTTCTTCCCTCTTTCTTTCTCTCTCATATGTGGTCGAATTTCCATCTCCTTTCTTTGTTTTCTCACTGTCCTCTTTCTCCCCTCTCTTTCTTCTTCTTAAATTATACACCGTTCTCCGCATTATGTCGTGGTGGTGGAGGAGGTGAAGCACACTACTTAGGCCAGCTCAACCCTCCGAACAAGTAAGTTTTATGATGAAAACGTAATTGGTATAACCTAAATCAATGTGTTGTACTGTTAGGATTTTGATAATGGTTAAAGTAGAATCTGTAGTTTATGAAATCGATTTTGGGTTTGATAGTGATTGGATCTGATATTGGGCAATTTTAATGTTAGGGTTTTCGATTGTTTGTAATTTGTGTTGTTTCCTCATTTACTCCTTTTCATTTGTTTGTAGTTTGTGTTGTTCTTCAATTTACTCCTTTTTAATTAATTGTAGTTTGTTTTGTGCCCAAATTTACTCCCTTTCCCTTTACAACGATTTATCGGGTTTTTGAATTTGTTGAAGTTATTTTTTTTCTCAATTGAAAGAATGTAAATTTAGGGTTTTACAGTTTTATGTAGCGTCGATATTAGGGATTATCAAACAATTAGACAACTTCTCACAATAACAATGTTTTGAGAATAAAACCATGTTAACATGGAAAATCGCATAAATATAGCAAAAATTAACAGAAATTAGCATTAAAAATTCGTATAAAACATGTAAAACAAAAATTAAACATGTAAAACAAAATTAACAACATAAATCAACAACAACGAATCAACAACTGGATTTGTATTATAGCTTACCTAAATCGGAGGTATTACTGCCACACTCGACAACCTGTCAAGTGTTAAGGCTAAAAAAATCCCAATAATTACAACCCAATAAACTAGGTGAGCTATTTATACAACTTTATAAACTCATTATAGCATACTAATCGAAACACTTGAGCTCCTTTAGCTACGATCACTTGCTTAACCCGCATAGAAAATCTTAACTGCTCACATTAAGGACAAATTCCAAAATAGGTCGTCGTAGGGCCACCATAAGAAAAAGACATGGCCGCAAACACAAGTAGCACAACAAACAAACACACACACGTCAGTAAAAAGCTGAGTAATCATCACATATCAGAATAAGAGTATAATAGGATAATCAACATTACTAGCTCAATTAAGTAATGTAGTTTAAAACTAAATTACACATGTTACTCTTGAAGTAACCTTTGTCAAACCCAACCTCGAATAATACAACCTTCACTTAAATCTCTATCCCATAAGTGTGCCATGCTCTTTGTATTCTATACCTAGCCTTGGACATGAGTAATTCGTTAATAAACCAACAAGTATACAAACTTAAATACTCTCAATAACCAGAAAACACCTTGAACCAGACCATATACGAGCCAATTCCCACTAGAGGGGACCATTGAAAAATAATTAATAAAGATTGTACCTCATTCTTAATTCATGATCATTATCTCATTACCAACATGTCAAGGACTAAGATCTATAACGCCGAGCCTCAAACCAAGAATAAAATAATCATTCTCAACCTTTTGATCTCATACTTGTTTAAATAATCATTAACAAACTAATTTATAATATTTCAAAAATGGCACATGTTTCCAAATAATACAACAATTCAAACTCAATTCAATAATAGAATCTCTCAACTCTTATAGGGCAATAAAGCTAATACCCAAATATAGTTGACTCCCAACCCAAAAATAACACTATGCATTAACAATCCTAAAACCTCGATAAAACAATACTCCCTATAGAAACAACATTAGAAACCCTAGAAATTATAACACAATCAATGAATACAACAATTAAATTATACAATGCAACAACCAATCGCATATATATATTTAAATTTTGATTATACAAATAATAAATTATAAAATTTATACACAATAATACAAAATATAATCAATACAAACATTAATCTATCTATAATTAAACAACTCCAAAGATTAAGATACGTGTGATTACCGTCACAGACATACAATCTGAACCTATAAAATACTCGTTTTGCTTGACGAGGAGAACATCACACTTCTTTCACATTGTATTTATGCGCACCAAAACAAGGGTTGACTTTGATTTAGAAAATCCAATTGATGATTGATTTGTATCATCATGGTTAACGGCCAAAGTAGTAAACTCACGAGATTTTTTTATTTTTTATTTTTTTGCAGAGTACAAAGTTGGAGTAAGCGGAGGCAATGCTTAATATTATTAGGGTGTAAGAAGTATTAATAGTTCATAAACAAGAGTTCTATTAGATATAAAATAAGGTTTCAAACTTTCCAAAAACAAACTAGGTAGACAAGGAAGGTTTACTTGATAATTAAAATAATATACGTATAAGTTTATAAAATATTCGGGTATTACAATCTACCCTCCTTAAACCAAGTTTCGACCTCGAAACTTAAAACAGAAAAAGATAGGGTATTACAATCTACCCTCTTTTAAACAAGTTTCGTCCCCAAAACATGAAGTTGAAGAAAAAAAAATAACTTGTCAATTTGAAAGAGAGTAAAAACTAAACCAAACATTTCTTATTAGGGGTATTACAGTGAATGTTTCCCTTAGGTCTGCTATATGGTCTGAGCTGTCTTTGCTTTTAACGATCATGTCATCAACATAAGCCTCAATGTTTCGGCCCCGGCTGCCCTTCAAAGATTTTGTTCATCAAGCGCTGGTATTCAGCCCCGACATTTTTCAAGACGAATGACATAACATTATAGTAGTATATACCCCTTGGCTAGTGATGAAGGCGGTGTGGGCCTGATCTTTTTCTGACATGGGTATTTGATGGTATCCAACATTGGCATCCATGAAGCTTAGGAGGGCGTGACCAGCGGTCGAATCCACCAACCTAACAATTTTCAGCAAAGGGTGATCATCCTTTGGGCAGGCTTTGTTCAAATCTATAAAGTCCACACACATAAGCCAAGAGCCATTTGGCTTTTTCACAAGCACGACATTTGATAACCACTTGGTGTACTGGTATTCTCAAATGAAACCCGCTTTGAGAAGCTTTTTGACCTCTGCTACTACTTTGTTTCTCTCTGGCCTGGCATGCCTGAGTTTCTACTAGACAGGCTTGTAGCCTTCCGATATTTAGCTCGTGCATCATGACATCGAGGTCTATGCCCGGCAATTCATCGGCTTTAAATTTTCCTTGAGTTGGGGGTCTAAGTTTTTTCCTACTCTCACAATCTGAGCGGGGTCATCCCCCAAGGGTATGTTTTCATTCTCTTCAATAGGCTTAGGCCTACCATATTTCTTGGTATTCTCATCCATATAGATGTTTATTACGGGGAGCTAGGGTTCATCTACGTCCATTGCCTTCTACTTGGACCCCTTATCCTCTTTATTGACCGAGGCTTCGGATACTCGCACCAGAGTTTTTTTTCCTTTGATTTATCATCGTGTTCATTGGATTCGGCTTGGGGAGGAGAGCCTTGTTCTGTATGTCCATGTAGATCTCACGCCTATCAGCATTATATCCAAGTCCTTCATCATCACTCTCAGCCTTTCTCGGCTTTCTGTTACTGTTCTCATGGTAGTTGTTTTCGTGCTTTATTTTCCCCTTGTCCTTAGCTAAGGGTGCCTTGCACACCTCGCTTGCCTCAATGATTCTTTCAGCTCTTTCCATGGCTTTAGGGAAGGTAGTGACTTTATCATGCACAAGCTCAAATTTCAGCTTGCTAGACTTAAGCTCGAAGAGTAGGGCTGTGAAAGAAATGTTATAATTGAGGTCAGGGATAAGCTAAGACTCAGTGTTGAACCTCTTGATATAGTATTTAAGACTTTCATTCTCTCCTTGCTTCACAGTAATCAAGTTAACGCTAGTCTTTGTTTGCCTACTCGCAACGATGAAATGCTTTTTGAATTGGTTAGCTAGTATGTCAAATGTTCTGATGCTTCTTAGGGTAAGGTTGTTGAACCATGTCTAGGCTATGCCCTTGAGAGTGGTGGGGAAGAATTTGCACCAAGAGGCTTCACACCCGGTTTCGACTCCCATTCGTGCTTTGTAAGCATTTAAATGGTCCGTTGGGTCTGTCTTTCCATCATACAGATCTAATGTAGGGATTTTGACCATAGGGGGAATGGGTGTGTTCATTATCTCTTGACTGAAAGGGGTGATATTTTTGACAATCCCAAACCTCCTCGGCTTGGGGGAGGGAGGACGCTCGGGGCTTCTACTTGCTGAGCAAGCGGGTTGAGGAGAGGTCCTTCTTCTTTGTCTTGAAGTAGTTGAGTTAACTAAGCTATCCCGGTATATCCATGCAGAGAGTGAACTCTAGTTTGACCTCTCTGGGGTGGATCATTTTCTTCCTTTGAGTTCTACCGCCTAGAGTTGATTATCTGGAGGGCATATAAAGTTCCTCCCCTCAGCCTTTGGTCATTGATTATGTAACACCCCAATAATTCTCTCTTTAAACTGTAAATACCTTTAATAAAATGCAAGAGAATTACTGACGTGCTACCGCCACGTGTTCAAACGTTAAGGCTAATTCAGAATTACGCAGCAGAAAAACTAACTTAGTTATAAAGAAGTTTCAAAACCAACGAATAAAACCAAATTAAGTGTTACAAATTGGAACCATTAAGGCCCTTATTCAAAACCCAATAAAAGTAGTAATTAAATAAAACCAGAGTTTAAATAAATTCAAACTTTACAGAAGAAATAAACTGTGAATAATAACTAACACTCCACTCAAAATCCCACCACCTTGATGCAAGTTCTAATTATATAAAATCATGTGGTTAATCTGTTCCCCAATATTACAAGTGTAAAAATTGGATCATCATAGGGTCATTGAAAGGTGAAGGCCATGACCAAAGAAAGACACACAAAGAACGCAATTAGCAACGCTGAGTACATACAAGCTACGAAATATAATAAGAAATTCCTAAAATGCTACTAATAATCAATCATCAAATACAACTTAATTATAGACATGAACACATGACTCAACTGTTTACATTACTAAGACCTCACTAATTAATAATAGATAAATCATTTCATTTTATTCATTGGATTAAGAAATAGAAAAGGTTTTCCATCCCATGCTCCATTTGGAACATCAAATAAAGAAAAACCCCATGCCTCCTTTCATAAATATCAATAAACTTACATCCAATGGCCACTGGCACGACTCCGTGACCATAGCTAGTATGAGATCTCATCTAACTCCTAGTTTTTGAAAAGTATTTGAAACAAGAGACTCGTAGATCAGATGGCCTCTAGAAAAGTGCACGGCTAATACCACGTGTACCTCAACCCCTGATTGTCATTACTCTAGATGTGCACAAATCTAGAGTTTTATTGCTCATCCATCTTGCACTATACGTGATTTACAAGTTTAGACTTGGTGATGACTTGTATGTGTAGACACCCAAATGTGTCTCCCCAAAACCAAACCCAGTGATGAGTACCTTTCACATCGAATCATAATCGAATGAAGTGAAAGTGTGGAAGGTCTAGTGTTGCGGATAGTTTTAATTATTTTCTTTCTCTCTATTTTTGAAAATCTATTTTAAGAAAACAGTCAATCCAGTTTGGTTCAGTCCATATAAAGGGTCCAATAATAATGTAGTTGGATGGGGCTTGAAAAGAGCTTTCCAACGATATATTATAAGCCCAATTCAGATGAATAATGAGGAAGTTATGGCCAAATTACTAAAATGGGCCCAGTTTGATCTTTATATGCGGCCCAATGATCTAGAGGAGGGCCTAATATTGATTTATCATTCCTAATACAATTAGAATTTATTTTAGTTTTCTAGATTCTTCTAGAAGGTTCTTTTCATTCCTAATTCAATTAGCATTGATAAATTGACTTTGGTTGACTTTTTAGAGTTTTAATCAGAATAAAAGAGTGTTTTTAAGGAAAATACAATTTTTCCCTTCTGTACGGCTAAATTTTATCAAAACTAAGAAAAAGCATGAAATTAATGATTAGCGCCTGACGACAGGGATTAGCTCCTGGCGCTAGCCTTAGCGCCTAGCGCTAATGTCCAGCGTCTAGCGCTAACCTGTTTTATTCTCGTCGAAACTCTGATTTGTTTTTCTATCCGTCCGGCTGATTTTCTCTATAAATAGCCTCCTAAAACCTCCGTTTTTAATCATCAATTAGCACCAAATCTCGTCAAGATTCTCTTGATTACTCTCTCTCTTTTCTAAACTAGCCTTTTGCATACAAAATTCATCATACATTAGCACTAGACACACCTAACATTGTTCGAAGTTGCCTTCGCCCTATACGTGAAAGGTTTGATTTCTGATGGTTTGGTCCCAAATCTAGTCTAAACTTTCTTTAATCTCTCTTTCAGTTATTTAATTTAATTGTTTGTTTTATATTTTCCTTGAAGTTACTAACGTGTGTATTTTGTTATTAGAAAGAGGTACGAGGCATCCAAGTAAGTGCTTTAATTGATTTATTGATATTTTGATATAGAAATCATGTCTAGGTTGTTATTATGATTCCTAGTGTCATGTGTGGGCGTTTTGATCTTCCTATTATTATGTTTAGGCTAACAACTATACTTTCTAATATCAAATATATCAATTGTGTTTCCTGCGATGCTTCCTATTCTCTTTCTAATATTCATGTTAGGTTAAAGCTTTGATTTTTATTGTTTAGTGACATGCTAGGGTTTGTTATTAATCTTGTTAGTATCATGCCTATGATCTTGCTATTATTACGCTTTAACATGATTATTTCAATTATGATTATGTTGCTTTATTATATTTATTGTTATTGCTTGATCACGCCTTTTATGCATGTTGTGGGGAATAAATTTCAAGCGTTAACCCCCTAGCTTGAACCCCACTGTGATTATACACTAAAGTACGGTGGCGTCCAAAAGGAAAGAAGATAGAGCAAAAGAGTCGCCAACAAGTTTTAGGAACTTGTAAACCGTTCACAGGGTGAAGGTTACACCCCTTAACGATCCAAGAGATCGTCAACTCCATAAGGTCTTGAACAAAACAAGGGTTCGGGGATGAAGGTACAAATCCAACCTAAAAGAGATTGAACCTGCCCTGATAATAGGCCTCTACTTTATTCTGATCGTATTCATGTGCGCTTTTTGACTAACATGCAATCAATAGGATTAACCCTAAACCTGTTTAATCTATGTTGGTTGAATTTAATGCACAAATAAAATTATTATTGGCGATCACTTGAATTATAATCATATTAACCCTAAACAAGATTATTAAATTATCTTATTAAGCGTGATTATAAGTACAAATTCCCTTTAAACATGCATAAAAGGTGTGATCAAGCAATAACAATAAATATCATCAAGCAACATAATAATAAAACAAAAATAACAATTATGATCATCAAAATAAAATTATAACAATAATCATGTTCATAATCATCAAAACAATAATCATAATAATCATCATAATAATAATCATAATAATAATAATCATATTAAAGCATAATAATAGCAAGATCCTAGGCATGATACTAACAAGATTAATAACAAACCCTAACATGTCACTAAGCAATAAAAATCAAATCTTTAGCCCTAACATGATACTAACAATCATAAATATTAGGAAGAACATAAAAGGCATCATAACAATCATATTTAATATTAAATTTACCCTAGACATGATACTAGGAATATCATAATAACAATTTAAACATGATTTCTACATCATAACATCAATAAAAACCATTAAAGCACTTACTTCGATGTCTCGTACCTCTTTCTAATAACAAAATACACACGTTAGTAACTTCAAGGAAAATAAAACAAACAATTAAATTAAATAATTGAAAGAGAGATTTGGGACCAAACCCTCAGAAATTAAACCTTTCACGTCTAGGGCGAAGGCAACTTCGAATATGGCTAGGTGTATCTAAATCTAATGAATGCGGAATTTTGTATGTCAAAAGCTAGTTTAGAAAAAGGGAAAGAAAGAGAGATGGTGAATGATTATTGGAGAGAATGAGAGAATTGAAAACTGGTTGTAGGTGAATGAAAACGGAGTTTTTACGACGTTATTTATAGAGAAAATTAGCCAAAAAGATAAAATTAACAAAACAGAGCATTGGCGCACAAAAAACAGAACCAGCGCCAACGCTGGCTGTTGGCGCCAGGCGCCAAGCGTAGCGCAAGGCGCTACAGATGGCGTTTGGCGCTGATTTCAGAAATTCACGCGTTTTCTAAAATCAGATAAAAATTATTGTACAGGAGGATAAAATCGTATTTTCCTCAAAAATGCTCTTTGATTTTAATTAAAACTCTAAAAAGTCAACAAAAGTCAATTTATCAATGCTAATTGAATTAGGAATGAAAAGAACCCTCTAGAGTAATCTAGAAGACTAAAACCATTCCTAATTCCATTAGGAATGATAAATCATATTAGGCCCTCCCCTAAATCATCGGGCCGTACATAAGGCTCAAACCGGGCCCAGTTTATTAAACTGGCCATAACTTCCTCAATATTCATCGGAATTGGGCTTATAATATATCGTTGGAAAGGTCTTTGCAAGCCCCATCCAACTACACTATTATTGGACCCATATCATGGACCAACTAAACTGGATTGGCTGTTTTATTAAAATAAGTTTTCAAAAACAGAGAGCAGAGAAAAGAAATTAAAACTATCCGCAACACTAAACTTTC